ATTCACAATTTCAAAAATGGTCATCTTTCCAAATTTGTTTGGGAGATTGAAAACGTTCCTGTTTAAAAATTCAAAATTTAAAAAATTGTTCATGTTTTAAATTCTTGCTCGAGGGTCTCAAAAAATGTTCCCGTCTCAATAACTGTTCAGAAATGTTAAAAAATGTCGTATTTTCAAACATTCTCAACAAAAAAGACAAAAAATGATCCATGGTGGGTCGAATCCTACGTGTGGCACACTGCCCGAACACGCCTGAAGATCCCCATATCCTCCCCATATGTGGGAGGGCTTTCATAGCTTTTGAGTGTATCGACCATATCTAGGCAATGAGGGGGTGAAGCACCAGCCTGATGTTCTTATAATTGGATCTATGAAAGGCTAATGATTGTGTGGATTGGTAATTTTTGGAGAAGGCCTTGCTCAAATGGGGCTTTTGTCATACATGGATTTGTTAGACCATGATATTTGTTACCTCGGTGAAATATTCGATGAAATTTGATGGGAAGCTACCGGAATATTTTACACACCAAGGTGATCCATTATCCCCGCTTTTATTTCTTTTGTGGTTGACGCTTTATCTACGTTGATCAACAAACCTATGGTGGATGATGGTCTTGAAGGAGTCCGTATTTGTAGAAGAGCACCGGTTATCTCACATCTCTTTTTTGTGATGATTCATTACTATTTTCCCAAGCTTTGTGTAGCAAGCAGGTTTGGTGAAAGGTTAGAAAACCTTCAAAGTGTTCCATCCTTTTTTTTCTGACAATTGCTCGCCGGCAGTCGCACTGGAAGTCCCGGTTCTGGAAGGGAGAATGCATAAAGCTGCAATTAGTGTTGATTATAAGACTTGTGGATTAGGGTGAACAATACATGTCTTCAGGTAGCAAGGACTTGCTGTGGCCCACACCATTCCCACTTATGCTATGAGTGTCTCTGGTCGGCGAGCCACGATCCGCCAGTCAGTATTGGTGGGGGAGTGGACAAGGGCAAAGTAATATGGCTTGCGTATGGCGGGCTCAAGTTCGAAGAAAGGTGCATGTCACGGCCTGGTGGATGGCATCGGGTGCTCTTGCCACATCGTCTTGCAAGGTTGCGCGCCACTTATCCACGTCTGCCACCTGCGGCCTATGCGGGAAGGAGAACAACAGCTCGTTCCGTGTGCTTACTGGATGCAATCATGCACGGGAATTTATGCTTGAGCAGGCGCTAGGTTTGGGATATCCCGGATGATGAGTTACTACCAGACAATGGAAAAGAGTGGATTCGGCATGTGCTTCAACAACACTCTAATTCCATGCGAGACAGAGTTATCATGGTTATATGGCGAATTTGGCATCTTCGAAATGAACTGATGCATAACAACGAGGTGCCACCTGTTGGAACGACTGTGAAGTTTTTCAACAACTATTTGAAGTCTATTGGTTATACTCGCAAATATTCTGTTGATGAAATTTTAAAGGGTAAAATGTCAGTTGAAGAGGAAGGACCATTATTTCATGTACCAGCCCCGGCGCTGATTCTCCCATTGTCTCCGCCACCGGTGGACCATGTGGCGCTTTCTTTGGATGGTTCCTTCTCATCGAGGATGGCTTTGGCGACGGCGGGTATAATCTTTTGTGCCCATGATGGGTCGGTCATATTTACAACCTATTGTTTTATACTTCCTTCGTTCCTAAATATAAGTATTTCTTAGACATTTCAAATGGACAACAACACACGGATGTATGTAGACATATTTTAGGGTGTAGATTCACTCATTTTGCTCCGTATATAGTCACTTGTTGAAATCTCTACAAAGACTTATATTTGAGAATGGAGGGTGTATTTCACTACAATGACACCCCTTGAAGCAGAGATCCATGCTTTAATGCAGGGTATAGGCCCTTGGATCGTGTCTAGTACTAGTGTGGATCTATCGACATAAGGACAACTAGTTTCTGAGCTCAGATAAATGATGACCGGTAGGGGGGGTTCAACACAAGATACGAAGGAAACAAGACAGAGTAGAAAATCATGTGGCAAACTACAGCCGCAGGGAATGCACCATGGCTGTGTGCCTTAACCAGAGTCTCCCATCTACCGAGGAACTTGTGCTTCTCGATTGTAACTTTATAAACATTGAATAAACTCATTTTACCCCGCAAAAAAAGTGCTTCATTATAGCTGCATGGTCCGTTATATGAGTTGCGCGTACGCCGTAGCCAGTATCCATCCATAAATTTATGGTTTATGGATGTCACACAGAATATATGGGCGATATGTACGTGGTAATCAGAGAATTACCTAGCGTCATGTGACACCAGCCGGACATACATAGGTCCACCCCCCGCCACCCACCCGGCGTTGTAGCGGCGGGCGGCGGGGCAGGGGAAAACCCGCTGTGGCGCCGGCTTCTGGAGAGGTGGACCCTAGGTCGCCTTTAGCTTTTTTTAGAAAAAAAGGAGGATATACCCCCGGTCTCTGCATACAGGCGAAGCATGCAGTCATTTTATTAATTTTTCTCAAAGACCTTAGAAAGTAATACATCAATAAGCCTGAAGCCTCCATCTTGATAACACCTGTCGCTACTCCGATCCTCTTGATGAAGGGGTGCCGAATGTACGAGCCTAACCAAACAGACATCGCACCAAAGCCTAACATATAAAGCCGGGTACCCCATCCAAGCCACAATGCCGGGACTACCAGTCCGACGCACTCTCAGTGGGCACCACATGCTCACGCTGCAAGGGCCGTCACCACCGTCTTCCATCGATCCATCTTGAGAGCATATACTGACGCATCGGCCTTGCGAGACCTCATTGCCGTCGACGCCACCACGACGCTAGACAACATCGTCCTCGTACGCGAGTCCATCACTGCACATCGGACGCCGAGTCTCGACTACGCCACGCCACCAACATCCTTGGCATGAATGTGTAGGATGAAGCACCGCTCCACTAAAGATGTCGTCCACTGGTTCGTGAAGCCCATGTACACCTCCAAGGGAAACGACTAGGGCTGGACACGAGCCGAGCCGAGCCGAGTTCAGTCCGAGCCGGCCTTTGGCTCGCCTAAAGCGAGCCGAGCTCGGCTCGGCTCGTTGGCTGAACGAGCCTGTGTTTGGAGGCTCGGCTCGTTTTGCCTCTGGCTCGGTCCAGCTCGAGCAGCTCGCATGTGCACTGCTAATGTGTGTGCAAGCCTGTGCTTGCGGGCGTCGGGGCGGCGGACGCTTGGCCAGGCACCATAGGAGGGACGAACGGCGCCATCGGTGCCGAGAGCGAGCCATCCAGTGTCGGGCGCGGCGAGGACGACGGCGGCATCCGGCACGGCAAGGAGGACGACATCTACACTCTATACAATCAAGCAGAAGCATTCATCCATCCATCCATCCATCAAGCCTAAATCCATCCATGCATCCATCGCGTGCCTGCGCAGCCATGCAGGGAGCATGTGTGTCATCTGCCGTCCGTGCACCAGTGCAAAGGAGCGCGCGTGACTGAGTGCCGAGCGTGTGCGCGCCAAGTTACTGATGGGAAGGAAGGAGAGAGTACCTGCTCGTCACGTACAGCGAGAAACCAAGGGAGGAGCGTCCGCCTGCGTTCGGGGTGGTGAGGAATGGCCGCGTCGCTCGCCGCCATCGGTCCAGTTTTGCGGCGCGGCGAGGAGAGAGATGCGGCGGCGCGGCGAGGAGAGGGATGCGGCGGCGCTGAACAGAGAAAGAAGAGACTGCGCTCTCTCTGCGTCGCTCGTGCCCTAATGGAATGAAGGCCGATGAGAATTGGGCTGGGCCTCGAGCGAGTCACCGAGTTGGACCGGGCGAAACTCGGCTCGGCTCGGTCGGGAATCGGGCCTCATTTCACAAGTCTGCTCGCTCGTTTATCCTATCGGGCCGAGCTGTAACGGGCCGAGCTGGAGCGAGCTTCGGGCCGAGCCGAAAAGCTCGCTCGTACGTCCAGTCCTAGAAACGACACAAGAGCGCCGCGTTATCCAATCTACCGATCTAGGGAGTGTGGTCTGGAACTTCTCAACAGCAACGCCTTCAAGGAGGGAACGACACCCAAGAGCGCCACCATCTCCGGCTTGGCAGCTAGTCGAGAGCAGGTTTCACCCAGGTTAGTTCGAAGAATCTCCATCAAGCGTCTTGTGCATGGATTACCACCTTCTCTGACGGGGACTGGATGAAAAGGGTCCAGCCGCCGCCACCTGACCGGTCACGGCACCACCACGGTACCTAAGCAGTCGGCGTTGTCAGGCCAACCGCGCCAGCCGATCGCCGTAAAACCGAGCCGCCGGCCCGCCCAAGCCTATCTGGGTCGGGCGAGATCCACGAACCCGGCCGTCACCATAGGAGCGCCTCCGATGCGAGGTGATTGTGCCTCCGCTGTCGCTGCCGCCACTCACACCGCCGGGATCCCGCCGCTCCTTGCCGCCGGATAACCGTCATGATGTGTGTCGCCGCTGCCGGCCTTTAGCTAACTAGCACTAGAAAATATTTGGGAAAAAGTGATTGAAGCAAGTAGGGTATGTTTGGTTGATGAATACAGTGTTCCACCACAAAGGAACTAGTATTAGATAAGTCCCATTGACAATGTAGTTTGGACGGCAGATGGGATAGTTGACTAGAGAGAAAGTTCTATCAAGTGAGAGAGACGTCTCAACTAAACAGGGAAGGGAAGAGCCAAGGAGGAGGTATTTCCTCACAACACCACGTCACAAAATCTGAAAATGATCAACGTGCTCCTTCTTCGGTAGGACATCGTTCTCCTTGGAGGTTAAACTATTGTTACCGAGCTATCATGGAAGTCAAGACTTGTCTGCAAGCTACTTCCCCAATCACCCCCTTTCCTACCCACCCCTGCTGCTTTTGTCAGTTATTGCAAGACTGGTCTTACAATAAGTTACAAAAAGCCGGATAGTTCGTTCTATCATACGTACAATCACCCCCTCTCCTAGCATATCAACCTCTGCTGCTTCCACAATCCCCTGTTGTTGCCGTGGGGGAGATAGAGAGAGAGGTGGCTATGGCGAGGCACTTCCTGCTCAACACGGGAAACCGGATGCCCTCGGTGGGGCTCGGCACCTGGCAGGCCGACCCCGGCGTCGTCGGCGCCGCCGTCTACGCCGCCGTCAAGGTCCGCACAAACCCCCAACTATTGCTTTTTCTCACCACTCGCTTCACCATCCTGATGGCATGTTTTTCACCCTCTATCTATCCCTTCGTACTGTCCTGTTTCCTTGTTTTTATTTCGATGAGATCGTGAATATTTCATTTCGTAATTGCTTCCGGATCGTGCAGGCGGGTTATCGACACATAGATTGCGCCAGCGAATACGGCAATGAGAAGGAGGTAAAACTACTGTCAAATCAACCAACTACCTATAAAGATTTCTTTTTGTTTAGTCCACCGTAAAAAACAGCTTTTGGTCAGTCTTATATGTTATTTAAGGTGCACATGATCTGCTGTCCTTGCAAATGCAACCAGAAAAGCATAGTGATATAAGCAGTGCAATTCTGGACATTTCTCCTATCCTACTAGGAATTTCTTCTGTCCGTCCCTTTCCAACATTTAACTATGCAAGATTAATTAAGGTCTACTGTATTTTGCAATATCAGTGGCAAATTGACATACGCTGCCTGCAGTATCTTCTGGATTTGTGCTACATAACAATGGTAGTAGTGGAGGCCTGATTTCAATTATTTGTATTATCCAGATTGGTTTGGCGCTGAAGACACTATTTGAAGAGGGTATAGTGAAGCGTGAAGATCTGTTTATCACCTCTAAGCTATGGTAACCACAAATCTCTGGATATCTTAGTAATTCTTATTTGAAGCTTCTAGTAGTTCACATCTAACTTACTTTGGATGCCTTAATTTTTCAGGAATGACCGTCATGCCCCTGAAGATGTGCCAGAGGCACTAAATGAAAGCCTAAATGATTTACAGCTTGATTACTTGGATCTTTATCTTGTGAGCACCTCCTATTTATAATTATATTTCAGTACCTGACTTCCTCTAGTCTGCTCTTTAGAACATTAATATATCACTTTTATGTGTACTGATGGCACTACTTTTGTATGTTATCATTTAGTTAGAAAGTCTCCTCGGCAAGAAATGGGCACTCGTCTAGTCTATATTATGCATAAATTTTAATCACAATTAATGAAAAAATTATGTATCCATGTTTGTCTATTGGGTGCTATTGCTATGGTATATAGAGTGTAAACTGGGCATATTGTTCTGTCCACTTTTTAATACATGTGTCCTATTACCTGAATTCTGTCTATTCAGTTAGCCGTATTACATTGATGGACGTTTTCCCATCTTATTTGATATGCATAATGTTGGTGCTATTGATTTCCGGTGTTAGATACTCAATTATTTGAAGATCACTTCTGTTGTTTGTTCTTGGTACTTTGAATACATTGCTGAAAAGATTATGTATGTTCAATGAGTTTTTATCTCTTGTGTTGTTCAACATATTCTTCTGGCTCTGGTACCTTCAACTTAGCGTTACATGATTATGTGTTGGAAATTTGTAGTAGGATGTTTACAAATGATTTGGTTAAAATCTCTTATCCTCTGTGTGTTTGTAGATCCATTGCCCATTTAGTGTCAAGAAGGGAACAGACCACAGCCCTGAAAACTTTGTTACACCTAACATCCCTGTTACTTGGGAGGCAATGGAAAAGTTACATCATGCTGGCAAAGCTCGCGCGATTGGTGTGAGTAACTTCTCATCAAAGAAGTTGGGTGACTTGCTTTCTGTAGCTCGTGTACCTCCTGCTGTTAATCAGGTGGAATGTCATCCTGGTTGGCAGCAAACTAAGCTCCACAACTTTTGTCAGTCAACCGGAGTTCATCTTAGTGTAAGTCTGATGACCTCAACTATTTCTATATTAGACAGTTAGTGTGATTATCTTGTGTGTTATTTATCACTAAAGAAGCTGGATTGCTTTTGCAGCATACTTTTTTGTTGTTGTTGCCGTTCTTTTCTCACCTGTATGTTCTGGCAGGCTTACTCACCACTAGGTTCACCTGGTACTACTTGGATGAATGGTAATGTCCTTAAAGAACCAGTAATCATCTCAATAGCTGAGAAACTCGGCAAGACAACTGGACAAGTGGCTCTGCTCTGGAACATTCAGATGGGTCACAGTGTACTACCAAAGAGCACAAATCAAGAAAGGATAAAGAAAAACCTCGATGTTTACGATTGGGCAATTCAAGATGACGTGCTTGCAAAGTTCACAGAGATTCAGCAGGTAACCTTAGCTATACTTTAATGAGGATAAAGCATTGATATTTATTATTGATAACTAAAGGTCTTTATAGGATGACAGATGAACAAATCTTTTGGAGCATGCTAAATTACTAGGTTTAAGTAGCATTTGTTCGTTTTTGTGCTTTTGGAGATTGGAGCACCAGTGTATCGTGACATGATTCTAATAATGGCGTTTTATTCACTGTTATTGGTGGCAGTATTAGACTATAAGTTACCATGGGTAAAACCAAATTCATACTATCGATATCTGATGTTCTTTTTTTCTTGCTACATACAGCACAACTGTGTGTCCTTAGCCGTATTGTTCATATAAATAGCTCTTTTTTTGGTATGAATCCACCTAAGATAAGCAAAACTCATGTCGACCAGCCCCTGTTATCAATTGTTTTCTAGAAGAATATTAGTAGCAGCAGAAATTATAATACCGTGACATGCTTTATGTAGTGGGTGAGTTTCTGCATAGCAGAAATTTCTAGAACGTCTTTCAACCATTCTTTCACTCATTGTTAATTTACATCCACTTTTTCCCCTTTAAGACCATTTCGCAGGAAAAGGTGAGCGCATCTGACGATTTTTATCTTGTTGTCTTCAGGCTAGGCTGTTGAGAGGCGACTTTATGATAAATCCACATAGCGTTTACAAGACCCACGAGGAGTTCTGGGATGGTGAAATTTAATGCCCGTCAGTCCATCTTATCTCAAAAGTTGTTCTTCACAAATGAAGGTTCAGTGGTCAGTGTTCGGATTCTATCATGTATCATAGACTATGTTGTCACAATGCATCTACCCCTCTGGAGATGTTGTCCATTCACTAGTGTAAGATCCCCATGATTGTGCGTAGTCCACCCCCAGTGTCCTGTGGCGCCGTGGGTGATGCCACAATGAAGGTTGGCGCATCGTCCTCGTGTTTTGGGGGGCCTGTTTTGTTTTGAGTACAAAGAGAATCGTGAAGCTAAGCTCAGTAGCTTTTGTCAGCTCACTGGCATTTATCTCTCTGTAATTGTGTGCCGCATTATGTATGTGTATCCACTAAGAAAGTGACAAAATTGTGTTTAAAAATCCTATTTGTATTGTTGGATATATATGATTAGATCTTACACATGTTCTATGCTATTTTACCTAAGAGAGAGCAGTAGGAGTGATTTAGCTAGCTAGAATGACTATGATGATTAAATAGTGGTAATGGCCATGATGATTATTAGCTTGTTGGTGATGATATGATGCAAGAGTTTTTATATATATTAATATGATGATGATGATGATGATGATGATGAGTTATATGTCATTGGGTGAAAGAACCGCGGATTAGTTTCAAGTGGATGGATCCTAAGTGATCAAGTAATGGATTATCGTGATAATCTATTACTTGATCACTTAGAATCCATCCACTTGAAACTAATCCACGGTTCTTTCACATAGTGATTTAATAACTCATTATAATGTAAAAACAATCTCTAATGTGTGTATGCATGTGAATGGTGGTGCGAGACATCCACGGCTCTACGAGAAATTCTATTTATATATATGCACAACGTGTACAATATGTAGTTTCATAAAATACCAGCAAATGAATAAAATTAAATGGAAAACACAAGACTAAAGGAAAAACAAATAATAAAACCAAAACCCCTAAACCTTTTAGTACTGGTTGATGTTACCAACCGGTACTAATGGTCTAACCGCCCCCGGCGCTGGCTCGTGCCACGTGATGGCCCTCTAGTGGAGGTTCGTGCTGAACCGGTACTAAAGGGTGGCCCCTTTAGTCCCCACCCTTTAGTGCTGGTTGCTGAACCGGCACTAAAGGGCCTTACGAACCGGTGCTAAATCCCGGTTCTACACTAGTCTTGCCAAACAGATTCATGCCATCGGTACACGCGCCGAGCACGATGTTCCTTGCATCACATGTGAAATACCAATATTCGTCAATGAACGCTTTTCACTGGCTTCCATCCACGACGTGTCTCAGCTTCGGATCATCTCCATCATCGGGCTTCTTCCTCTCCGCATGCCAGCGCATGAGCTTTGCTTCCTTGGGATGTATGAAATACCGCTGTAGACGGGGAGTGATCGGTAAGTACCATACAACTTTCTGAGAAGATTTCTTCTCGGCCTTCTTGTATCGAGAAGCATTGCACACCGGACAACTTGTTTTTTCCGTGTGCTCCTTCCGATAAATTATGCAATCGTTGATGCATGCATGGTATCTAATGTGCGGCAGATCAAGAGGGCACACGATCTTCTTGGCCTCATCCACACTAGTAGGACATAGATTCCCCACGGAAGAACATCTTTTAGGTACTTGAGAAACTCATTGAGGCTAGTGTCGGTACATTTGTGTTTAGCCTTTGTCTTCAGGAGTTCGAGCGTGAAACTCAAGCGGGTCACCTCGGGATTGCAACCATGATACAATGGAGTGTTAGAGTCTACCACTAGTTGCTACAGCTTGGCCTCCTCTCTAGAAACATCTCTCTCAGTACTTGTCTCCTTGCGAAGCAGTGCTTGAACATGAGGGTCCCGCACGATTGAACTTAGTACCGACGAATTCTGCGGCGTGAAGTCCATGTTTTCTCTGCTGCCATGTCCGTCCCCTTCTCCACGGCCATGTTCGGCCTCTTCCCCGCCACCATGTCCAGCCCCTTCTCCGCCTCCATTATCGATCATCTCTTCGTCTTGCCCCGTGTCGTCGTGCCTGCCCTGTCGGCGTCCTCAACATCATCATCCTCATCTTCAATTATCTACCGAGTATAGCCATCCATGAAACCAGTCATGAGCAGGTGCGTTATCGCATCATAGGGGTCAAGCCAGACTCCACCTTTGCATTTTCTGTTGGAAATATGCCCTAGAGGCAATA